CCACAGCCTCCACTCCCTCCAGCCTTGGCTCCGGCCTGGTTCTGCGAGGCACAAACAGATCTGACGAGGGCCTAAGCAGCTGGGAGCCAGGGCACAGTCCTTGCCATGGTTTTTGGCTTTCTAGGAAAGGCAAACTCTTAGAGAGCAAGAGGGAGCAAGGCCCAGGGTGGAGGGGAGGGTGTTTCAGAATACTCCCCGTCCCCTGCCATGTGCCTCCCAACTCCCGGCTCCTGACCTTGCTCTTGGGTCCTGAGCCAGGAAGCTCCAGGCTGAAGGTGGCCCTCCCCCACTACCTTCCTCAGATGGAACAAGGGGCTCAGGATGGGGAGGGCAAAGAAGGGACTGGGAAGAGAAGGAGTCTGTCCCTACAACAAAGCTGCTACCATCAAAAGCCAGGCCTGGCCCTCTGCAGAGCCTAGCTCCCTGGACTTCCTCCCCTCTGGCCTCTCAGGTTCTGAATTCTAACTCCCTAGCTCCACTCTCACCTCTTAGCTCCAAAGACCTCCTCTGCCACCTCAGTCACACTATCCAAGGCCACACCCTAGACCTGCCCTTCTTGAAACACTGGCCTCCAGTTCCACCCCGCACCCCACTCCACAGGAGGCAGTGTGGAGTAGAGGTTTAGGGTGTAGGCTCAGAGCTAGGCTGCCTGGGTTCAACTCCCAGCTCCACCATTGACCTTTGGCAAGCCCTGTGCCTCTGCTTCCACTCCTGTACTCACAGGTCATTGTAGGGATGAGATGAATAAGCCCAAGTACAGAGCTTAGCTGGGCTGGCTCATCTGATTGGAGATTGTTGGTATTTCTCCACCGGTCCTTGACCTCATCAAGTCCTCCAGCCCTCAGTTCCCGTCTCCCAGCCTAGCCCTGACCACCAGTCTGCCTGATCTTCCTGTTCTAAGTGCTACTGGCCTTCAGCTTTGGCTTATGGTCTCTTCTTGTCCCCACTACCTGCTTTCCCTGCACAGGCTCACCCAGACCCCTGGCTCTCCATCCCACACCAGCCATTGCCTCCACAGCTGTAGACGTAAACATCCAGCCATCTCCTGGACCTCTCTTCCTCACACTCCACAGGCCCCAAACCGAACTCAGACTCACCCCAAAGCCGCTTCACCTCCTGAGTTCTCCCACCTCAGGGCACAGTGCCATCAATCACCAAAGCCAGAGTCCTGCAAGTCCCCACAATTCCTCTCCACACCCATCAGTCTCCAATGCTCTCCAGCTACCTCCTGAACATGTTATCTTTTCATTCTTTCCTTCCTTCCTTCTTTCTTCCTTCCTTCTTTCCTTCCTTCCTTCTTTCTTCCTTCCTTCCTTCTTTTCTTCCTTGTTTCCCTCCTTCCTTCTATTGGGGTGTTTTATATATATACATACTATATATATATATTTATATATATATATATATACATAAAGTGCATGAATCTTAAAGGTACAACTCAATGATTTTTCACATACATTTACACATGAGTACCCCCCACCCAGATCAAGATATACAGCATTTTCAGCTCCCCACAAGATTCCTTCATGGCCCTTTCCAGTCTATATCTCCCCCCATCCAACCCAGACATAACTCCATAAATTCGTTTTGCCTGGTTTTGAACTCCACATAAATAGAATAAAAAAGTATGCACTCTTCGATATATGAATCAATGGAATAGAATTGAGAGTGAAGAAATGAACCCATTCGTCTATGGTCAATTGATGTTGGACAAGGGTACCAAGTCTTTTCAACAAATGGTGCTGAGACGATTAGATATTCACATGAATTTGGCCCTCTATTACATGCCAGGGGCCCTGGTGGCACAGTGGTTAAGAGTTCAGATGCTAACTAAAAGGTCAGCAGTTCAAATCCACCAGCTCCTCCTTGGAAACCCTATGGAGGCAGTTCTACTCTGTCCTATATGGTCGCTATGAGTTGGAATTGACTCAATGGCAATGAGTTTGGTTTTGGGTTTTATTACATGCCGTATACAAATATTAACTCAAAATGAATCGAAGACTTAAATGTAAGAGCTAAAACTATAAAACTCTTAGAAGAAAACATAGGTGGAAATCTTCATGACCTTAGATTGGCAGTGGTTTCTGAGATATGACACCTAAAGCACAAGCAACCAAAGAAAAAATAAATAATTTGTACTCAAAATTTAAAACTTTTGCGAATCAAAGGACACTATCAAGAAAGTGAAAAGACAACCCACAGAATGAGGGAAAATACTTGCAAATCTTATATCTGATGAGGGTCTAGTATCTAGAATATATAAAGAACTCTTACAACTCAATGACAAAAAAACAAATAACTCAATTTAAAAATGGGCAAAGGATTTGAACAGACATTTCTCTAAAGAAGATATATAAATGGCCAATAAGCAACTGAAAAAATGTTCAAAGTCATTATTCACTAGGCAAATAGAAATCAAACCCACAGTGCAGTACTACTCATATCCACTAGGATGGCAACTCATAGCGACCCTATCTGTGTACAACAAAATGAAACACTGCCTGGTCCTATGCCATTCTCACAATCATTGCTATGTTTGAGCCCTTTGTTGCAGCCACTGTGTCAATCCATCTAGTGAGGATCTTCCTCTTTTCGTTGATCCTCTACCAAGCATGATGTCCTTTTCCAGGGACTGGTCCCTCCTGATAATATGTCCAAAGTATATGAGACAAAGTCTCCCCATCCTCACTTCTAAGGAGCATTCTGGATGTACTTCTTCCAAGACAGATTTGTGCATTCTTTTGGCAGTCTATGGTATATTCAATATTCTTTGCCAGCAGCACAGTTCAAAGGCATCAATTCTTCAGTCTTCCTTATTCATTGTCCAGCTTTCGCATGTATATGAGGTGACTGAAAATACCATAGCTTGGATCAGGCCTACTTTAGTCCTCAAAGTGACATCTTTGCTTTTTAACACTTTAAAGAAGTCAGTTGCCGCAGATTTGACCAATGGCAATACATAGTTTGATTTCTTGACTATTGCTTCCATGGACATTGATCGTGGAGCCAAGTAAAATGAAATCCTAGACAACTTCAATATTTTCTCAGTTTATTAAGGTTATAACAAAAAAAAAAAAACAAGTGTTGGGGAGGATGTGGAGAAATTGGAACTCTCGTACACTGCTGATGGGGATGTGAAATGGTGCAGCTGCTTTGAAAAACAGTTTGCCAGTTCCTCAAAAAATTAAACTCAGATTTACCATATGACCTAGCAATGCCATTCCTAGGTATACACCCAAGAGAACGGAAAACAAATTTTCACACAAAAATTTGACACTAATGTTCCCAGCAGTATTATTCTTAATAGCCAAAAAGTGGAAACATCCCAAATGTCCATCTACTGCTGAATGGATTAAGTAAAATGTGGTGTATCCATACAATGGAATATTATTTGACCATAAAAATGAATGAAGTTCTGATACAGGCTACAATGCGGATGAATCTTAAAAACATTATGCATAGTGAAAGGAGCTAGATACAAAGAGCATGGATTATGTGATTCCATTTATTTGAAATGTCCAGAATAGGCAAATCCATAGGGACAGAAAGTAGATTCGTACTTGCCAGGAGCTTGGGAGACAGGGGAATAGGGAGTGACTGCTACAGAGTTTCTTTTTGGAGTAATGAAAATGTTCTAGAATTAGATTGCTATGATGGTTCTACAACCTTGTGAATATACTAAAACCATTAAATTGTACACTGTAAAATGGTGAATTTTATGGTATGTGAATTATATCTCAATAAAAAAATACAAAAAGCTTCCACTTTTTTGTGTATGTTTTCTTCCATGCAGCGTAGTACATGAGAGTCATCCATACTGCTGTATGTATTAACAGCTTATTCTTATTGCTATGTAGTATTCCAATGGAACAATATGCTATAATTTGTTTTTTAATTCTCCTGTTGATAGGCGTTTGTGCTGTTTCAAATTTGGTACTATTACGAATAAAGCTCTAGATTCTTACAAATGTCTCTGGAGGGATATCAGATGGACATTTCTACTGGTATATTCCTAGCAGGGCAATTGTTGGGACAGGATATGCATATATTTAACTTTAGTAGATACTGCCAAGCAGTTTTCCAAAGTGGTTGACCCATTTTACACTCCTGCCCCCAGGGTCCAAGAGTTCCGGTTGCTCCACAGCCTCGCCAAACACTTGATATTGTCAGTCTTTTTAATTTTCTCCACTCTGGTGAGTGTGTACCTAATTGAAGTTTTCATTTGCATTTTCCTTATGATTAAGGAGGTTGAGCATCTTTTCATATGCCTATTGGCCATTTGGATATCCTTAGTTGTGAAGTACCTATTTATTTAATTGGGCTGTTGTCTTTCTATTATTCATACGCAGGATTTTTTTAAAATATGTTCTGGATATGAGATCTTTGTCAAGATCTACGGCTTGCCAATATCTTCTTCCACCCCGTGCCTTGCCTTTTCACATTCTTAATGATCTCTTTTGATCAGCAGAAGTTTTTAATTTTGAAGAAGTCCAATTTACCCACTTTTTATTTTATGGCCGGTTCTATTTGCTTCTTGTTTAAGAAATCTGCGCCCACCTTTTCGCCATCCCTAGAAGCCCCCCCCCCCACTTCTTTGTTTCCACCTAGCTCCTTGCTGCCAGGGTTATCCTGGGCTGACCATCCTGCTCCCCACTGCCGCCCCACACTTCGTCTCCTGCTCCCCCCAGCCCGTCTCCTCACTGCAGTCTGCATGATCTTTCTGCCCAGCGACAGGCCTAGCTCACCTCCCCAGTGTCCCAGGGCTGGCACAGGGTCTGGCGGACACTAGGTGCTCAATATAAACTTCATAAATGAGTGCAATGTCCCTCAGCCCAGCTGGGGATCATTAAAACTGTCAATTAGTTCTAAACACCAGCTCATCAGGAACATTTGAGTAAAGCCAGGGAAGTAAAAAAGTTTTGGAAAAACCCACAAGATAGGAATGTTTAGCTTTCTCCCCAACTGGAGCATTAATCACGAAAACTCAGACCTTGTTAGCATTATTTATTCTTGTTTCTGCCCCCATGGGACCAGGGGGCCTTTCTCCTGCCCAGTGTGGCCTCAGGAGCGCCCCATCAGTCCCCTGAATTTGCTGACTCTTTGAGCGGGAGGGATATCTGTGGTCTCCTTCTAGTCCTTCTCTTCGCCGTGGGTGATGACATAGCACAGGTTCCTGTAGTCCAGGTTACCACACACATCTGGTGGGAAAGCTGCAAACATCTGCTTGATCTGGAGAAGGAGCAAGGGGTCAACCTTGACCAGGGTGGAATGGGGCCAAAGGTTGGGGGTTGGAGCAGCAAGTCATCCAGAGTGTCAGGCAGCACCTTCCTCTCTTCCTTGCATCAGGGTGCGGGGCGGAGGGGCCGGGCCAGCAGGCCAAGGTCCTACAACCAGCCAGCAGCCCAATTCTAACCCCTATAACCCCACCCACTCCTTGCTTGTTCTCAACCACGGAGTCAAGGGGGGAGATCAACTATGCACCAAAAGGAAAGGGATCCCAGGGAGAGGTGGGGCTGCGGAGCAGGGCCCTAGGCAGGGCTGGGCCCCAGGAAGACCCTCCACAGCAGCAGGAAGGACCCTGCAAAGGGCACACTTACCTCCTCCTCACTGAACCTGTCTGCCTGAGTCATGAGCTTCTCCTTGATGCTGCTCAAGGAAAAGAAACAGAAACGGCATGCTCAGGAGAAGGGCTTCCCCCATGTGCGCATGCAGGTCCCAGGTGATGAGGGCAGGTAGGCGGGGGCAGTCCTGGCCCAGGAGGACACCACCTGGGCCTGGCCCTCCTGGCCCTTGGCTGGCTGTGTGGACTCAGGCAGGCAACATCTTTGCTCTGCACTTCAGCCTCCTCATCTGTAATGCCGGCTCTCCTCATTGGATGGGGACCAAATGAAATGACCTGGAAACCTGAAATGACCTTGGGAGGCACTTTAACTTCTCACTGTGCTAAAAATCAGCCTCCAGGTCACCACAGGGAGATGACCTTCTTTGCCTTAGTTCTTGATGTACAGCTTGGTATACTTCTGGTAATCCCTGAAATCTGCACAGTGCTTTACAGTGTACAAGGCGCTGGCACCCAATAGTGAAGGGCCTGGGAGGCCTGCCCAGGTCTCACTTGTCCTCGTGGCCCTGGGAGGCGAGTATTATTAACCCCCTTTACCAGAGGGGGAAACTGAGGTTCAGGAGGGGGTTGATTTGACCAAGTTCCAGAGGGAAGTAATGGGAGGAGCGCAGCTGGCCCCAGGAGCCAGAGCTGGCCTGGGGCTGGAGGAGCAGCGTGGGAGCCACGTTTGAGTCTGTGTGCAAGGGGCCAATGCCCCCGCGCTTGGAGGGCCCCCGAGAGCTCACAGGGGCCCATGGGCAGGGTGGGATCAAATGGCTGAGCGGGGCTTCCCTACACCCAGAGTGTCCTCTGGCGCCGGCAGTGGCAGGCCGCACTAGGGACCAACGCACATTTTCCATTATTTATCTTACTGTGGGACAGTCCCAATTTCCAGCTCTCCAAATGGGGACTTTTCAGACTCTGTTTTTGCAAAACACACTGCACAGTGAAGGGCCTCCGCCAGAGCCTCCCTGGCCGCCTGGCCGGCAGCCCGGCTTCCAGGTCCCATATCCTGGCGTGCAGGCGAGGGGCGGTGTCTCCAGTTCCCAAATTGAGTCCCCAAAGGGCTCCTCTCAGTCTGCCCTCACGCTGGTGGGAATGAAGATGGGTGACAGCAGAAGAGTTGGCCCAGGCCACTCCAAGAGTGTCCCTACTATTCCCCCAGGTCCCCAAGGTAGGGGTGGGAGCCAGGGACCCCGAGGGAGGGGCAAAGGAGAATCCTCAGCAGCTCCTACCCCTACCCCAGGGGAGTACGTGACTCACAGCCTGTTGGGGGTTGGGGGGGAGGTTGGTGAGAATGTGTGGAGAGATCCTGCCTTCATGATCTGATTATTCTAATATGAAGTCAAATTATCCTCAAAACGTAAAGGCCAAAGCATCATAGTCCTTAACCAGGAAGTCTGTGCCCACAAGCCCAGTGTGGCCTTGGAGGCTCTAACAGGGCATGGGGGCAGTTCAGAGGTTAGCTCGGCCTCCTGCCCCCTGGGCAGGCTGCCCACCCTCTCACTGGCCCTAGGCTCCCAGTACAGCGGGCCATCTGAGCCAGTGCCTCTTGCTCCGGGTGCCCACCAGACAGTGCCCATGGCCACCTCCAACTCAATGCACCTTTCCTCACCTCCTCCAGGCTGGCCTCCACGTGGTCCCTGCCTAACTCCTCCTTAGGCTTGCCACTGGCCCCAGGGGAGACCCGGGGTCCAGGACCCAGTGCGTGAGACACCCTGATGCAGGCCCTGCCTACCTCTCTGTGCTCAGTCTCTGGACCCCACATCCGCCTGCACCCTCCAGCTACGGCAGACACCTCCTCATGGACCCTGCACACCCCAGCCCTTGACCTTTCACTTGTGCTCATCTTCCAGGCTCATGTCTGCTCTTCCCACCCCCGCCACTGGGAAGCCCTCCCCAAGTGACCTCACACTGCATATACACTTTCACAGCCATGTAGAGGCGGGGTACAGGCCCAGAAAGGGAAAGGGACGTCAAGAAGATAGCTGGGCTGGTCAGCGGCCCCTGGCTCCTGGCCAGAAGCTGACTGAGCTTGGCTGAGTTCTAGATGGAAGAGGGGACTGAGCTGCCCCCCACCTGCCCCCACCCTAGCTCGTTTATCTCCTGAGCCTTTGGGGAAAGAAAAACCAAAACCAGGGCAAGAAGACTTACAAATCAGCCTTGACGAAGCCTTTCCCTTCAGTGTCGAACACCTTGAAGGCATGCAGAATGGTCTCTTCGGGGTCTGTGCCTGGAAACAGCACACACAGGGCAGGGAGAGCGGCAGGGTGAGGAGGGTCCCACGGGAAAAGGCCAGGGCTGAGCAGGAACTGGGGTGGAGCCAGTCTATGGCCCCTGCAGAGGGGAACAAAGGGGAAAGCTTCCTCCCCAACTTCCACTCCACAGCGGGGCAGAGCCCACTTGAAGCAAGCGCAGGGCAATTCAGACAACCAGTCATAGTAATGATCGACAGGGCACTGCCTAGAACTGTGAATGACCTGCACGACTGTACATGGAGACCCTGCCTGAGCATTGACTGTGTGCCTGCCACTGTGCTTATCCTCCTGAGAGCTGTCCCTATTTTACAGATGAAGAAACTGAGGCTCAGAAAGGTTAAGTGACTTGCCCAAGGTCTCGCAGCTGGCAATTGGTAGCTGCCATGTGATCTGTGAGGTCGGTGGGGCAGCAACTCTAGGGCTCCTAACCCAAGATATGCGTGAGACGCTGTGGGTGGAGGAGAAAGAGCACTGCCCTGGAGGCAGAAGGCTTAGGCTCAAGCAGTTGGGTTGCAGAGGCCTTTGATATTGCCCAGCCAGAGGAGGGAGAGGTGGGCTCAACACACCTTGGATGGGGGGATGGGGCAACAAAGCTAGAGTAGCTCTGGTTTCATCACTTTCATGCTGCGGGCTTTTGGGAAAGACATCTTTAGAAGAAATGGTTCTGCTGCCCACACCCAGCCCCTTCATTGTACAGACGGGGATACTGAGGCCCAGAGAGAGGAGGAGTTTCACCCAAGTCCTCACAGGCTGTGTGAGGGACAGCAGGGGCTGGACCTGGGCCTGAGACCCTCACTCAATGCCCTTTCCTTTCAGTCACACTGGCAAAGGGATTTGTTAATGGGAAAGTGAGTGATAAACACGAATCTATCCTGTGCTGCGCTCCGTGCCTACAGCTTTACCCCTTTACTCCATGAGGCCCCAGAACAACCCTGTGTGGCAGGTATTGACACTCCTAATTTGTCAAAGAGGAAACTGAGGCTCAGAGAGGTTCTGTTACTTATCTGAGTTCCTACATCGAATAAGAGGAGGCAAAATTCCAACCCACCTCTGTCTATCTCCAGAGCCCCTGCTTTGTGCTCCTGCTCACAGCAGACCAAGGCCCCATTGGACTGGGTCAAGGTCCCTGGACCTCCTCCATCAGACCAGGTCAAAGGTCCCTGTATCTCTCTCATCAGACTTGGTCAGGGCCCTCCTTGTCTCCACCATCAGACCAGATTGGGCCACTGTGTCTTCTCCATTGGATTGAGGCAGGGCCTCTGTTTCCACCATCAGACCGAGTCAAGGCGATCCATGGTTTCCCCCATTGGACCAGGTCAGGGTTCTCTGTGTCTCCCCTACAGGACCAGGACAGGGCTTCTGTGTCTCTCCCACCAGACTAGGTTAGGGACTCTGTCTCCCCTATCAGACTGGGTGAGGGCCCTCTGAGTCTCCCCTACTGGACCAGGTCAAGGCCTTCTGTCTCCCTGAGGTGCAGTGAATTACTTAATATGGCAATTCTAGCCATGGTCTTGTGACTCCCACAAAATAATTGCGTGGGACTATGCAAATAGGGTGCTTGTGGTCCACCTAGGGGATTGGACAGTCTGCTAATAATGCAAATAAGGTGTATGGAACCCTTGTGGGGGTGGGACCATACAAATTAGGTATACAGAATCCTAACAGGGGGATTGATCAGCTTTGCCACCCTGCTAGGCTTAAAATAACCTCTCCCAGAGGTAAAGAGGGATCCTCACTACCATTAAGAAGAACAGTGCTGAGAACCTCCTAGACCCAGGCGACAGAGAGAGTTGTAACACTGGAGACAGGATAAGACAATGAGAAGCAGCAACAGAAAAACAGCAGCAGCAGAACCAGGAGACCAGCACAAGACGGCTGTCGTGGGCTTCCTGGCCCATGGAACGAGGTGTCTACAGCGGGCATGCCCACCCACGGAGTGAGAGAGCTGAGTGCCTTCGGGCAGGAGGCTTGCTGGCACAAGTGGGATGCCTCTGGGCACTTGTTGGCAGAGCTAAATAAACAGCTGTAACAGTTGCCTAACCAGAGCAGAGGTCAGGCCGGGGGGCCGAGGGAGAGGTCTGCCTGTGGGCACAGCTGAAAAGCTGTCCTGACCAAAGAACTGTATCCTGAGTTGTTCCTGATCCTGAATTGTAACTGTTATTTCCCTAATAAACCCCATAACTGTGAGCATAGTCTATGAGTTCTGTGTGGCCATTGCAATGAATTTTTGAACGCAGCAGAGTAGAGTGCCATGGGAGGGATGGCTGGTGTCAAAATTGGTGAAAAGGTTGGAGGGTAGAGGTATGTTTGACTTCCACCTCATAGGAATCAGGCTTGGGCTGATGTTGATCTTGATTCTCCTACCCCCTTGTAGAGTTAGACAAGGAGGTCTGACACCGCTGTGCCATTTTTATACTCCCCCATCACACTGGGAGCTTCTCCAGGGCAGGACTGTGTCTGAGTCACTTGGCATCTCTGACACAGGCCCAGAGTGACCACATCCTGCTGATCTACAAGCTCGTGGTGGGCAGAGCTGTGAGCTTCCTCTGGGCAGGGCAGCTTGCGGGCTCAGCCTAGGGTCCAGCTGGGGACGGCTCCAGGCCCTCATGACAGGGGGCATGCAGAGAGAGACAGCTCCAGGTGACTGGTCAATCAGTCGTGGTGGTGGGCTGGCGTGGGGTCCCTGCCTCCCAGGCCACAGCTCCCAGCTCTCACTGATGCTTGCCTTTGAGCAGAGACCTCCCTGCTGGGGCAGGTCTGTGGCTGAGGACAGCTACTTGTGGACTCAGTTAGCTCAGGCCCAGGATGAGACGCTCCCCACAGCTCGCCCACTTCCTTTCATGGTTCCTCCCTGCTCCTAAGACAGCGCTCATAAAATGGGCGCAGAGTGGCTGCTTCCCCCATTGTGCATGGGAATCTCATGACAAACTCTCCTCGTCCCAATTAGTGGGATGAGGCGGTGCCTGCCCCAGCCCCTGCTCCTGTCCCCACCCGCTGGCCGTTCATGCAGGCTTGGCCACATTTGCACGACAGGCTCTGCTGGGGCCCCATCCTGGCGCCCCTGCAAAAATGAGAAAAAGCTGCTGCCCTGAGGCCTACGCCTGGTCTGGGTGGTGGCTTCAGTGCTGCCCTGGACCTACACAGCTTCAGGCCTCAGTCTCCCATCTGTTAAACAGGCCTGGGGCCCATCGTGATGTGAAAGCACCTCCCATTGCCCTCCTGTTCCCCTGAGCATCCAGAAAGGGCCCTCCTGCACCTCCCGATCTCAGAGCCTGAGCCCCCTCTGCCCATCCCTCACACACACGAGTCTTGGGACCGGAGGTGCCACTGCCTTGCCCCAGGACTCCAGGCCCAGGAGTCCCGGGCCAAATCCTCAGGCAGGCCAACCCAGCAGGCTCAAAGGCCTTTTCCCCTGGCCCTTCTGCTGGCCTTTAGCAACTTTCCCCTCAGTTAGGTTCCTCAGAATAAAAGATAGAGGCCTGTCCATCTGCCCCCCTTAAAGTTGCTAGCTGGAGTCACGCTGGCCCTTCCCACAGCTCCTACACCCCGCCCCAACCTCCTGGGCTTCTGAGCTCTTGGAGGAGGCGGACATAGTCCCAAGAATAACCCCTAGCAGCTGCCTGGAGCTGTAAGGGGTCCAATGGCTCTCCTGACTCAGCTGGACAGCCCTAGTTCATAGCGTGCCCCAGATGAGAGTCCCCGGACCTCTCTGGCCCTCAGTTTTGTCATCTCTAACACAGAAGGGTGGGGTATGGGCTAATAGACACTGTTGGCTTCCTTCTAGCTCCAAGATCAGCTAGGACATTATGTCATAACCCGTGCAAGAGTTTTATGATTTTTTACCAAATAAAATTTAAGTAAGATAGCCCCCATTTTACAGACAAAGAAACTGAGGGACAGAGAGGAACCAAGCCTTGCCCAAGGTCATCCTGGGAGTCAGCAGGAGACAGGGAGGCAAAGGGAGTGCATCAGGCAGGGCAGACCGAGGATGGAACAACAACTCCCACCTCACAGGACAGCCACGGCCCAGACTGGCTCTTCCTCTGATCACAGAACCTGCCAGGGAAATCATTAAGGAGGGCGGAGATAGCCCAATCCCCCCCAGTTCCCCACTGCCGGCCACATGCTGTGTCTCAGGAGAGTGCAGTGGTTTGAGCCAGGAGCCAGGGTTAGAATTCTGAAAGCTGGCCACAGTAGCTTTCAGAAAATGGTGATGATTCATCCCACCCTAGCACCCCTGGCGGCCGGAGAGCAGTGAAGCAGAGTAGGCAAAACTGAGGGGGGTGGGGAGGCTGAAGGATGTGGGAGTGGGGCACTGTCTCGATGGTGGACAAAGGGCAAAGGTCTTCCCCCCACATTGTCTCACTGCGTTCCCTCTCAGCTCTTCATGGTAAGGGTTATTACAATTATCCCCACTCTGTAGAGTGAGGGAGAAACCAAGGCAGGGCCCAGGAGGATGTGTACGCCCAGCACCTGGTATCTGAGGGCCACACCATGTTCCCAGTGGCAGTGAGTGTCCATGTGTGTGGGGGGTAGAGGGGCATGTCTGCACCCAGAGCCTGGCCTGCCCCCACCGTCCTCTCCCCAGGGCCACCAGGAGCCTCACTCACCCTTCAGCTTCTCCCCAAACATGGTCAGGAAGACCGTGAAGTTGATGGGCCCTGGTGCCTCCTTCACCATGGCCTCCAGCTCCTCGTTCTTGACATTGATGCGGCCTGGGGGCAGAGAGAGTTGGGGACATCATGGGGGTCACAAGGGGCCCTGCCTCCAGGCAGCCCAAGAGACAGGAGCTTCCCAGCTTCCAGCTCTGCAGACCTACCCATCCCCTACTTAGCCCTAGGGCCCTGCCCACTTCCTGGGGCAGGGAGTGACATTCAGCCCACCGCCAGCAAAGGGCTGCCCCCAGCCTCACGCTCGCCTCTACCTCAGCCTCCCTGGAAAGGAGAGCAAGTCAGTCATTATTCTCATTTTAGAGAGGAGGAAACTGAGGCCCAAAGAGGTTGAGAGTGTTGAGGTACAGGCTGTGCCCAGGGCCCGGAAGATCCGGTTCTCCCTGGGCTTCAGGTCACGTGCCCCAGGAGGGGTCAGTGAGCTGCCGGGTGGGGGGAGGGGACGGGCTTTGGGATTGCGCATGGTCCCAGTGAACAGCCAGACCTCGGGGTCCAACACCCAGTCTAGAGATAACTTGGTTATGTCCCCTTCCCCCACTCCTGCCCCCTCCTTAAGGCCCTTCTCTGGGCCCTTAGAGAGCGTAAAAGCCTCTTCTGGCATCAGAAACCGCATATCCTCAGGCTCTGCCAATGTCACCAGCCCCGCACCACCTCCAGCTTCTCCCCTGCTCTTGTGAGTCCTCACCACACCCCTGACCCTTCCATGCCAGGCCTTTGCACAGGCTGTTCCTGTGCCTGAAATTCCCTTTCCTGCTCTGGCTGGGTCCTCCTGGGCTTTGAGGCCCAGCTCTAACCCCCAGTAAACTCCCTTTGACCTCCCAGGAGTGGGCCACCCTGCTCCTCCCCATAGCACCTGTGCCCATTGTGCTGGCAGCAACTACTGCCCTAGACTCCCACAGCCCCTCCCTCAGCCCCGCCCAGCAGGAGCTCCTCCTCATGTCCCTGGCACCCACTCAGCCCAGCCCACAGTGGTCATCAGAGGTGTTTGCTGACTGACCATGAACCCCAGTTCACCCACCCAGTGCAGCAAATGTGTCCCTCAGGTCCTGCTTGTCGATGAAGCCATCCCGGTTCTGGTCCATGATAGTGAAGGCCTGGCAGAGACAAGGACACTGAATAGCCACCACCACCAAAGCCCAGTTCCACCCTGGCACCCCCTCCCCAAACCACTGCCTGAGGAACCTCAGTGCAGGCCCCTCTGGCCACCCTACTGGGGTTTCAAGTCCATTGCCTCATTCAATGTTCACAGCAACCCCATTTTACAGACAGGGAAACTGAGGCTCAGAGAGAATAGACTTGTCCAAGGCCACACTGAAAGCAAAGACTCAGGTGCAGAGAGAGGAAGGGGTTGCCCAAGGGCAGAAAGACACATGTCTCTAGACTCTAGACTCTGAGGCACCCTGTGGTGGCTTCTAAGAATAATGACATATCCCTCCCCAGGGAATGAGATCTGGCTGTGTGCTAAGCTTGCTAAGCATTTTACACACATTACATCATTCCTTCCAACAACCCCATGGGCAGCTGACCAACCTCTTTAAACTCCTGGATCTGGGACTGATCAAACATGGAGAAGACATTGGAGCTGGCTCCACCCTCTGCTCTTTTTCTGGCTCTTCTTGGTCCCTGCAAGGTACCAGGTAAGGGTTTGCAGCAGCTCCTTCTTTGGGAGGTCAGCCTTCCACCCCCCACCCCCCACCCCATCTACCAGAGCGTCACAGTCCAGAATGGCACAGACCCGCCCTCAGGGCCAGATGTCACCGCAAACTGACAGGCTTGTAGTGAAGCCTTGCAGATAACCAGGGTGTTTTGCCAGCCCACGGCAAGAAGCTTGCTGAGTGCCCACTCACAAGGCCAGACAGCTGCTTCCTGACCCAAGCCCCAGGCTCCAGAAGGTGAGTGGCCAGCAGTCAGGCTGTGGAGCAGAGAGGCATTGTTTCTATAATCAGCCTTCGTGGGGCTTCCACCTAAGGTTGGAGGGAGCCTTAGAAACAGGTATCTAATGCTGGCATCCAGCTGTTTAAACTTCCCCTAGTGCCCTCAGATAACGTCTAGGCTCCTTAGCCCAGCAAGGCCCGCCCCCATGCCCCTCTTCCAGAGTATCCCCTCCCACCCACTCCCTACTCTGTCCCGAACCTGCTTAGCGCTTCCTTCTTTCCCAGTTTCTTCTCTTGCCATTCCTACTACCTGGAATGCCTTTCCTCCTTCCACTTGTAATAGCCCTTCAGGCTCAACCTCTCTGTGGCCTCCTCTGAGAAGCTTCTCTGACCCAAGCCCTCTGCCCCCACCTCCACCTCGTCATCTTGTGCTGCCACTCCCCACAGGGCCCGCCACACTGCCCTGCACCATGTCTGTCTCCCCAGCCAAGGGCAGACCTCCAGGGCAAGCCCCAGTCTGTCTCATCTCAGGTCACTCTAGCGCCCCCACCCCACGCCCACCCAGGGCCTGGCTCGCTGTGGGGATCAGCCAACGTTTGGAAATGGCTGCCCAGAGCAGGTGACCCCTCACGGAGCAGGTCGAGGGGCTCTGGCCAGCTTTCCTGCCTCCAGATGTTTCTTTCAGGATGTCATAGGGCCTAAAAGTCCACCACCATTAGGCATTTGCTGAAAGCTCTCCAGCCCCCAAGACACCCTGAGGCGCTGACCTTTCTCTCAGTAGCCATCACTAGAGCCCCAGGCGCTGTAGTCTTGGAATTGGCTCTGGAGGGGAAAAGAGCAGCCCAAACTTCACAGGGCGAGAGGTGGAAGGGGCTTCACACTCCCATAGCCCGCCCCCCACAGGCTCTGCCCCCAGCTCCCGCCTCCATCTCAGCTTCTTTGCCAAGTCCTTGTCTTCCCCGCCCCCACCCCCAGGCGATCTTATCTCCTGAGCAGGGCTTCCCTTGGCTCCCCTGCACCCACAGTGCCTGTGTGGTCCCTCTCCCCCAGATCACCCCGTCCCCTCCCCACCCCTCCCACTTCCCTTCTGGCTCCTGGGCCCGCTTCAGGAGTGAGCAGCACCCGGCTGACTTATAATTAGCTTTTACTGGGTGCTTTGTCTCCACTAATCCTTTGAAAGGGGGCTGGCAGGGCGACTGGGAAGTTATGATGCTGTAAAACCTCTGTAATATTTATAAATCCCTTCAGACATCATAAAGAAAAGAACCTCTCTGCAGAGTTCATCTGACATAATTACATATACATTTCCCTCTGATTAATAAAAAATGATCACTTCCGTCTGTGGAGCTCTCTGCCCTTTCTCTCTGCAGACCTCAGCCTCCCCCACCCCTGCTTAGCCCCAGACCTTTCATGTCTTTCTTGTTAAATGTCACCCTACTGTGTGTCAAGCCCTGGTCTGGAAACCCCAAAGGCAGGAAGGAATTGTTCTCTCTGATTGTACAAAGGGGGCCCTGAGGCCCAGGGCCTTAGCCAGGCTTCTGCCCTTCCAGCCAGGGTTTTTTTCCAGCCCAGCTGACTTGGAAATTTACCTTGATAAGGTGGCCACCACCCCCAAAAATAATATTTCTCTGAAAGGAACATCTCAGGGCAGAAGGGACAGCCTAGCATAGGGGGTCACTCAGACCTGGGTTTTAATCCTTACTTTGCCACTCACAGCCTGTGTGATGTTAGGAAAATCACTTGCCTTCTCTGAGCCTCAGTTTCCCCATTTATAAACCGGAATAATACCTACCTCAAGGAATCCATGGCATTGGACATTTGTTAAGCACCTGTTCCAGAGCCCCTGAGCTGAATCAGACCCCATCCTTGCCCTCAGGGAGCCCACAGTCCAGCTGGGAGACAGGCAACCAACAGAGGACAATGGAGGGAAGGACAGGTATGCCAGCACAGAAAAGCCCTACGCTACTCAGGGACTCAGGGCAGACTCCCCGGAGGAGGTGGCTGCTGAGCTGAGACTTGGCAGCTGGGCCCAAATTCTCAGGCCAAGCAGGACTAATGGAGGTATGTGAGGCAGAGGCATAAATGAATAGCACTGTTGAGGGCCTGCAGGGAGATCCATGAGGCTGAGCACAGGGAGGTCAGCAGGACGAACTCCACCTGGCCTGACAGGCAAAGGTAAGGGTGAGCAAGAGAACCTTGCAGCAGAGCCCCATGCCAGCTCCAGAGAACTCTGCTGACATGCCCCAATAGGAAGTGAGTCCTTTCAGCAGGATAGAGCCTCAGCTTCTGCTGCTGTGAAACCACCAACTCTACTGTCTGTCTGTGCCTGCCTGGTCCATCCTGGCTTCCTCCACCCTCCTCTTCCTCATTACCCTCACCTTCATCACCCTGGCCCCCAACAAGCCAGGGGAAACAGAGACCCAAATCAGGACCACATGGCCAGTCATTAAGGGCAGACTAGGGTGGGTCAAGGAGCCTTGGGGGTGCAACGGTTAAGCACTCGGCTGCTAAACAAAAGGCTGGCAGCTCAGAAGCCACCAACAGCTCAGTGGAAGAAAAAACCTGGCCATCTGCTCCTGTAAAGATGTCAGCCTAGGAAACCCTATGGGGCGGTTCTACTCTGTCATGTAGGGTTGCTATGAGTCAGAATCGACTCAATGGCACACAGCAACACCAACAAAGGGTGGGACAGGCCCAAGGATGACACCAGGTCAAGGCCAAGGATGTCAATGAGAAGAGTAAGGTCAAGGTCAGGTAAGTTCAGGGATGAGGTCACACTCAGAATCACAAATGAAGTCAAGGTCAGGGGATGACATCAGAGTTGAGTCGTGATGTCAGGGTCAAGGGTGAGGTCAGGATTGAGGTCAGGGCTGGGAGGGTAATCCCCATGGGTGGGAGGGAGGAGGACCTTCATGAAGAGGAGAGTGGAGGGGCAGGGGCGACAGCCAGGGGAAGGCAGGGCAACCCCAGCCTACCATGATGTGGAGTTCTCTCTCTTGCTGCAGCAGAGTGGGTCGCGCTCAGGGCTGGCTCTTTAAATAGTGCTCCTTCCCAAGCACGGTGATGTGCCAAATCCAGACAACAGTTTGGAAGGTGACAAAGGACAGGATGGAGACCTCCCTGCCAGGCACCTGTCCTGGGCCATTCAGAGTGGGTGGGGTGGTGGGATCATTGGGTAAACACCATGATCCACAGTCTGTTCAAGCCACAGGACCTCCATGAGTACTGGGGCAACTGTCTTCTCTACAGCCCAGGAGCCAAGGCCAACAGTAAGTTGAGGCCCAGAACCAGCTAGAAAGACTTAGCTTTAGGCCATTGAGGGTCAGGAGAGCCCCCCAAGACAGAGCCACCCATGCCACCTGGAGGAACTCAGGGGCTGCTATTTTATTTAGTGCTGCTATAACAGAAATACCACAAGTGGATGGCTTTAAGAAACAGAAGTTTATTCTCTCACAGTTTAGGAGGCTAGAAGTCCAAATTCAGGGCACCAGCTCTAGTGGAAAGCATTCTCTTTCTGTTGGTCCTGGGGGAAGGTCCTTGTCATCAATCTTCTCCTAGTCTAGGAGCTTCTCAGCACAGGGACAGAAAGACAGATGCAAAGGAGATGCTCTTTCTTGGTGGCATGAGGTCCCTATTTCTCTGCTCACTTATCTCTCCTTTTATCTTTTGTAAGATAAAAGGTGATGCAGGCCACACCCCAGGGAAACTCCCTTACATTGGATCAGGGTTGTGACCTGAGTAAGGGTGTTGCATCCCACCCTAATCTTCTTTAACATAACTTAATCTTGCCTCATTAACCACAGACAGAGATTAAGATTTACAATACATAGGAAAATTACATCAGATCACAAAATGGACACCCACACAATACTGAGAATCATGGCCTACCCAAGCAGACACATATTTTTGGGGGACACTATTCAATCCATGACAGCTGCAATTCGGCAGATCCTTTGAGCTGCATGACTCTGGGTGGAGCACAGCCTGCTGGAAGCCTCAGCCATCTCACAGGGAAAGCAGGGAGGAGAGTGACACCTCTTTCATCTTGTGGAAAGGGTTTCTGTGCCAGCCTGGGCCACAGGGGCTCTAAACCAATACAGCTATTGCTCCGTGGTTACTACTGTCACGATTACCCACCCAGCCAGATTCTCCTTAGGCCACTGAAAATGTCCAGTGTGTTGTAAAAGCAAAGAAAAATGGAGGCTCTGACCAGGGAGAACTGAAAAGTCAGACCCCCCACCCCACCCTGGCCACACACACCCTAGACGTGACCTGTCCCCACCAGGTTGGCCCGGCCCAAGAATTCTCTAGTAGATGTGCCAGCAGAGCCAGCACCTGCCCCTGGCAGGGCTCTCATGCATCTAGGGCAGCCCTGGCAGCCCAGGCTTGGCCTCAAAGGTCACCCCTGCCCATCTGGCCCAGTCGGCTCCTGTGTGGGGCCTCTGACATCTGATCGACTGCCAGGGCTTGCAGTGTTGGGTTCAGGCGGGGAATCCATCCCCCGGTCCCCAGGAGGTGGAGAGCTTAACTGTCCCTGGGTTAGCTGGCCTCTGGCGGCCAGGCCCTGCTGACCGGCAATGGATTAGCCGTACTGGGGCTCAAATCTGGAGACACTTGGGGGAATAATGTGATAATGATAAGGAGAAGAGTAGCTAACGTGTATGAAGTGCAAAAGGTCAGGCTATACTCTATAACAGTGCTTGACATGTGTCCTCGCATTCAATCCTTACCCCATTTTCCAGGTGAGGAAACTGAGGCACGGAGGGGTTAAGTCACTCACCAAGGCTGATCAGTGGTAGTGCCAAGGTATTGTTGTTAGGTGCCGTTGAGTTGGTTCCAACTCATAGTGACCTTATGTACAACAGAATGAAACACTGCCTGGTCCTATGCCA